CACTGTTACAACACTGACAACATTGTGACAACCCTGTTACAACACTGTGTCCACATTGTGACAACATTGTGACAACCCTGTTACAAAGCTGTTGGCCTCTACAGATCCATCTTTGATCACCACAAAGGCCATCACAATAATTTGAGGAACTATACTTTATAAACAAAATAAAAACTTGAAAGCATAGTTTCATCAAATGACTGAGGTGGCAGGTTTATATATTTACAGTGTTTCCCTTAGATCAGTTCCCTTGGCAGGCCAATCATCTATTTTATGCATTTATTTTTTTGTCGGGGGGACAAGAACACGACTTGTGTTGTTGCACGCTTGCTTAGCGTTACGTTACTTATGTTACGTTACTTATGTTACGTTACTTACGTGGGAGAAATGGAGCACTACATCAGTAGCATTTTTGCTAGTGTGTCAGTATTGCATGCTAGTTTAGTGCTATGTCAGAGCAGACAGGGAAACACCGATACATATATGGTGGTGGACATTTTAAGTCTTGGTGGTGATCTTTGTTACACCTAAAAGCAGCTATACTCCAAAACTGAAGTCGGCACGTTGCTTATTTTTTAAGTTATCCTGCCTACAATGTTTACAAATGTACATGGTGTCAGCCATCTTGAATTTTGACATGGCAACCCAATTTTTTCCAAAGGAAGCTTTCTTACACCTAGATGCAACAACTCAGTATCTATCTCATTTTTCAAACGATCACGATCACAGCATGCACGGACGGAGGGTATTTTTGCTCCACAACAGGAGACAAACTGTTTGACACAAGAAAATGGTTTGTTTTTTTAATTTAATTTTCGTCCCTCGCTGCCGAACAATCAAACTCGGCTTCATTGCTAATGCACTTCTTTCGTTTTCTTTTATATTATAATCAAGTCTCACTAATTCCTAGTTAGCTCTGCCCTTCACTCCAATCCTACATGTTTTAATTGAAGTGTAATTTAATTCATATTTTGGTATCTGATAAGTTTCAGTGATGGGTCAAAATAAAAGTTTAAACTGAATTATTAATTTGTTACTCAGTCCATTAATTTGAGGATGGTGTAAATAAATCCCTGTTATAGTTAAAGTTAATTTATCCTGAAGTTCTTTTCACCACTTAAACGAGCACTAATCCTAACAGCACTAATAACAGAGCACAAATAATAAAAAGTGTGGTCTATATTTTTGTTTGTTGCTACACGTATCATAGCTGTGCTTGATACGCCACAATTTTTACAAAGCTACGTCTTGAACATTTACAGGCAAATCCGATTGTGCTACTGAAACAACGGCACCGTGTAGACACACAAAGGTTCTTCAGGCGAAAAATACCAGATCCTAGACAACACTTCACCTCCAGTACCGTTTGTCCAAACAAAGGGAGATGTTTACCGGTTCAATGACCTCCACGTTCCTCACAGTCGGGTCGGGAGCGACGGCGGGCCAGTCGGACAGCTCCTGGTACCCAGCAGCTTTAACGTTGAGACTGTGGGACAGGGTTCCCAGCTGGAAACGGTCCCGGTCTGAATAAAAGGAATTACATTTAAGGAAATTCTTGGACCTAATGTAGCAGTAAGGCCAGTGACGTGTGGTCATGGGGGGCAGGTGAGGCAGTGCTGCACCTGCCCCCCATGACAAGTAAAATACTAACAATGATAAGAGAAAATACATTTGACCACTTGTCTGTTCTATAAAACTGTTTTCTGAATTATTTCAACACGTCAACGGTGAAAATCACTGACTTTATGCCTTACCTGTTCAAACATGTGAGGCAGTGTAGTGCTGTGGCTCACCTCTGGTGCTAATGCTAATTATGTTAATGCTAAATCTGCCCTGCTTTTTGCTAATGCTTTGCTACTTTTAGCTTTTATGCAAGATATTAATTCCAGTGTTCTACAAGCTTTTTCACTACTTTGGCTTCTTAGCGAGTGTTTCTCTGTTTAATGCTAACGCTTCACTACTTCTGGCTTAGCTAACATTTTCCTGTGTTTTGCTTCAATACTCATTTCAGCAACTTCTTTGCTGATTTCAATATATATACAGGTCCTTCTCAAAAAATGAGCATATTGTGATAAAGGTCATTATTTTCCATAATGTAATGATAAAAATGAAACTTTCATATATTTCAGATTCATTGCACACCAACTGAAATATTTCAGGTCTTTAATTGTTTTAATCCTGATGATTATGGCATACAGCTCATGAAAACCCAAAATGCCTGTCCCAAAAAATGAGCATATCATGAAAAGGTTCTCTAAACGAGCTATTAACCTAACCATCTGAATCAACGACGTAACTCTAAACACCTGCAAAAGATTCCTGAGGCTTTTAAAAACTCCCAGCCTTGTTCATTACTCAAAACCACAATCATGGGTAAGACTGCCGACCTGACTGCTGTCCAGAAGGCCATCATTGACACCCTCAAGCAAGAGGGTAAGACACAGAAAGAACTTGCTGAAGGAATAGTCTGTTCCCAGAGTGCTGTATCAAGGCACCTCAGTGGGAAGTCTGTGGGAAGGGAAAAGTGTGGCAGAAAACGCTGCACAACGAGAAGAGGTGACCGGACCCTGAGGAGGATTGTGGAGAAGGGCCGATTCCAGACCTTGGGGGACCTGCGGAAGCAGTGGACTGAGTCTGGAGTAGAAACATCCAGAGCCACCGTGCACAGGCGTGTGCAGGAAATGGGCTACAGGTGCTGCATTCCCCAGGTCAAGCCACTCTTGAACCAGAAACAGCAGCAGAAGCATCTCACCTGGGACTGCTGCTGAGTGGTCCAAAGTCATGTTCTCTGATTACAGTAAATTTTGCATTTCCTTTGGAAATCAAGGTCCCAGAGTCTGGAGGAAGAGAGGAGACACAGAATTCACATTGCTTGAGGTCCAGTGTCAAGTTTCCACAGTCACTGGGTTGTCATGTCATCTGCTGGTGTTGGTCCACTGTGTTTTATCAAGGGCAGGGTCAATGCAGCTAGCTATCAGGAGATTTTGGAGCACTTCATGCTTCCATCTGCTGAAAAGCTTTATGGAGATGAAGATTTCATTTTTCAGCATGACCTGGCACCTGCTCCCAGTGCCAAAACCACTGGTAACTGGTTTACTGACCATGGTATTACTGTGCTCAATTGTCCTGCCAACTCTCCTGACCTGAACCCCATAGAGAACCTGTGGGATATTGTGAAGAGAAAGTTGAGAGACCAAGACCCAACACTCTGGATGAGCTTAAGGCCGCTATCGAAGCATCCTGGGCCTCCATAACACCTCAGCAGTGCCACAGGCTGATTGCCTCCATGCCACGCCGCATTGAAGCAGTCATTCATGCAAAAGGATTCCCGACCAAGTATTGAGTGCATAACTGAACATGATTATTTGAAGGTTGGCGTTTTTTGTATTAAAAACACTTGTCTTTCATTGGTGGGATGAAATATGCTAATTTTTTGGGACAGGCATTTTGGGTTTTCATGAGCTGTATGCCATAATCATCAGTATTAAAACAATTAAAGACCTGAAATATTTCAGTTGGTGTGCAATGAATCTGAAATATATGAAAGTTTAAGTTTTATCATTACATTATGGAAAATAATGACCTTTATCACAATATGCTCATTTTTTGAGAAGGACCTATATATATATATATATATATATATATATATATATATATATATTTTTTTTTTGTGAACTTTATAATCTTATATTAATTAAAACTTTTTCCTGCAGTTTTTGCTTTTTGTAACTTTTCAGCTTCATTTGAACAATTTTCAGCTATTGATAGTGAGTAAAATGTTATTTACACAACACTTCTTAAGATAAAAATCACAAAGTGCTTCGACAAACAAAATAAAAAAGTTCACAACCCAAATTTAAGCAAAGGCAGATTTTTTTTTAAATTAGTTTTTAAGCTGGTCTTTAAAAGAGGCCACTGAGTCCACTGACCGGAGAGTTTGCGTAAGGGAGTTCCAGAGTCTTGGAGCCACAGAAGAAAAGCCTCGGTCTCTTTAGTTTTCAGTTTTGTGTGGGGGACAATCAGCAGGTCTTGATCACAGGACCTCAAAGCCCTGATCGGGGTGTTGGGATGTAAAAGTTCTGAGATGTATACTGGTGTCTGTCCATGCACAGCTCGCCAAGTCAAAACCAAAACCTTGCAATTTCTTTTTTCCATTTACCCTTTATTTATCTAAGTAGTCTCATTGAATCACGAGAACTCATTTTCTCCACTCGGTAATGAACTGGGAGCCAGTGGAGTTGCTTTAGAAGTGGAGTTATATGATACAATTTTGAAGATCCAGTCAGAAGTCCAGTAGCAGCATCTGCACAGACTGCAACCGGTCTAGGGCGGTTTTGGTTAAACCAGTGTACAGTGTATTACAAAAATCCAGGCGAGATGAAACAAAAGCATGAATTAACATTTCCAATTCTGGACGAGAGACAATACGACTAAGCTTGGCAATATTTCGCAGATGGTAGAAACAGGAACGAACCAGAGACTTTACATGAGTTCCAGAATAAAACCCGAGTCAAAGGTTATCCCAACGTTTCTAACCGAGGATTTAGAAAAATGACCAAGAGGCCAAAGGATCTGCTTTATCATTGCAATAGTTTTTTTCTGGAGCAAAGATGATTACTTCATTTTTTTCTCTGTTTAGCTGGAGAAAACTTTCAGTCATCCAGCTTTTAATTGAATCAAACAGTTAAGTAAAATGTGTAGTTTTGAAAGTTCATTTGGAAGAAAAGAAATATACAACTGGATGTCATCAGCATAAGAATGATATGAGATATCCTTAAAAGATGAAAGTATCGGACCAAGAAGGAGCAGATAGAGCAAAAACAGCAATGGCCCCAAAACAGAGCCCTGCGGAACATCAAAATGGACAGGGCAGGAATGGGATGTGTACGTAGATGTAGCCAAGAAGGTTGATCTATTGGTTGATGTATTTCATGTAAGCTTTAGCCTTTTTTAGCTGCTTCAAGCAAAATCATTCAGCAACATGCATTCATGGCTTCACACTGCATTTTCAAGTTCAAGTTCAAGTTCAAGTAGGTTTATTGTCATTTATTGGTCCATTTGTCATCTGTTCTAGAACTGCGCCACTCGGGGTGGCTGCATGTTGGAGTAGCTCTGTTACATTCATTCTGAGTTATTCCTTTGGAAAACTTTAATTCTTCTTTTTTCTGGATGTAAATCGCTTTTGTCGGATAATTGTTTCCTTTGGTATCAGATGCTGTGCAGCTGGAAGGATTTTTACTGAAACCTTTTTACTTTTAGGCATTTGTAAGGCAAGTGTAACCATGGTAACAAGGTAACAAGGTGTTTTCTTTAACAACCAGGAGCAGCTGATTAACATCTCCAAAGCTGAAATATCTCAACAGCCCCAAATCCCAAAGGAGTTGAAAAGGAGGCGCCATGAACGAATTCCCATCAACCTGGCGGCAGTGCTCGAGTACCTGATCGCTGAGATTCTGGAGCTGGTGGGAAACAACAAGCTAGATCCGGATGGACAGATCAGTATCTGTGGCCAGATTCTTCAGATTTACTGCAGGAGATCCTTCCTGGCCAGAGAGATTAGCATCTATCACAACTCTTGAATTAAAGCAGGATTATGAGCTACGACAACACTTAAATTCCCTTTGGGATTAAAAAAGTATTTTTGAATTGACTTGAACTTCACCACATGTGATACATGAGGTGGAACAAAATTATGTACACAGGGTTCCAGTTACATCCAACAATAGCAAAATATATAGTATGAGAAGAAACGGTATACAAGGATCTACGGCGTGCGCTCTCAGGACATCATTACCTGCAGTGTTCCCTCAGTGAGGACTGAACTAGACTAAAGGACCTTCTCCTACTCCGCTCCTGTTTCCTGGAATATCTTGTAAAAAGAGCTGAAGCTCTCGACCTTTGACCTCTCTAAGTGGTTTCAAACATCTGATAAGTTCCTGCAGATGTTCCTGTTTTTAGTTTTCTACACTGCTTTATAATCTAGCTGTTTTTTTACTACTTTTCCATTTAATTACCATTTTATTTTCACTTGTTTAAAAAAAATTAATTTGTACACATCCTTTATGATTGTCTGTTTTGTCCATTGTTGTCCTCACTCTTTGTTAAATCAGGTCTCTCTTGTAAATGAGTCCTCGAGGCTCAATGGGATTAACCTGTAGAAATAAAACTTGAATGAATCTAAGATACACACCAAACTAACACTAAACGCTACGCTAGGAGATCTAAGATATACGCTAAACAGTAATAATGTAAAACAATATGGCTTTACAACAGCAGCCCGAACATGAGTCTGTGGGAGCAGAGGAGTACGAACGAACACCGCAACATGAGATGAGCAGCATGAGATCAGCAGCATGGATAAGTCACATGTCACCAATTAAAGTGACGTGATGTGATTTTTCACAGTGATTATTCTAGTTAGAGATTCATGAGTCTAACAGCCTCAGGGTAGAAGCTGTTCCTCAGTCTAGTGGTTTTACACTTAATGCTCCTCAACCTCCTTCCTGAGGGGAGTGGGACAAAAAGTGTGTGTGCTGGGTGAGTGGGGTCCTTCATGATGCAGGTGGCCCTCTTCCTGCATCTGGAGGTGTAGATGTCTGTGATGGTGGGGAGACTGACTCCAACATCTTCTGTGCAGCCTTCACCACTCTCTGCAGAGCTTTTCTTTTCTCAGAACGCTGTGCTGTGTTGGTAAAAATGTTTTACCACAGTCAGCGCCTTTGCCTTTGAAGGATGTTCTATAACAGGGTTATTCAACTGGTGGCCCAGGGGCCAAATCAGGTCCACTGGTGATCTCAGTTCTGCTCACCAGTGGGTCCATTTTTAAATAGAACTCTATTTTAAACGGTAAAACAAACTTCCTTAACAACAATAACCGCTGGATGTCCGGCCCCCTGAGCAGTTTAGTTTCCTGCTCTATAACAAAAGCTCTGCTGACAGAAAAAAGCTTCACTTGTGAACATGAAGAACGACACGAGTGGTTAAGGCTGTCCATAAACATGCAGGAGGTGCAAACTGCCGGTGAATTTTAATGCAGTTTGGGCCCTCGTGTCAAGGAGGAAGAGAGAAAGTGGGTGAGAATAGTTTCCACCTCTGCGTGAGAAAAGGATCAGCCTGAGCTCAGTAATTTACTTCTCATTAGTCCAAGGTAAAGACTTCTGACCCGGCTGCCCTTCAACGAGGCGCGCTCACAGAATACTAAACTGAAGCCTGGATCCACAGGACCAGTAGCCCGTCCATTCATTCCATCCAGCCACCATCCAACATCCAGCCATCCAGCCAGCTAGTCAGTCATCCATCCATCATCCATCCATTCATTCCATCCAGCCATCATCCAACATCCAGC